GCAGAGCTACAGAGAGGGAGAGGCAGAAGCAGAGACAGAGAGGTCTTCCATCTTCTGGTTCATTCCCTCAGATGGCTGCAACTGCTGGAGCTGGGCAGATCCGAAGCCAGGAGCCAGGAGCTTCTTCTGGATCTCCCACGTGGGTGCAGGGGCCATCTTGGGCAATCATCTACTACTTTCCCAAGCCATAGCAGAGAGCTGGAGCGGAAGTGGAGCAGTCAGAACTTGAACTGACCCATATGGGATGCTGGTACTGCAGGTGGTTGCTTTACCTGCTATGCCACAGGGTCAGACCTTCAGGGACATCAAAAGAGGATACTCAGATCATTAAAGGGACTAACTTAGCTGATAGAGCTGCCAAGATGGCAGCCTTCCAGGCCAGAGACTCAAGCTGTCTTGATGCTTGTCTCAGGAGACTTACCTATAAGTTCACAATACTCTTCAGAAGAGGAGACATGGGCAAATGAAACGGGACTTAACAAGGATGCTGGTGGATGATTAAAACATGATGTCAAAAAATTTTTTCCTCAAGCAGGAAATTACTAATATTTAAATAACACCCTTCACATCCCTTTGGGACTGGCTTATTTCACTCAGCATGATGTGCTCCAGATTCCTTAATTTTGTTGCAAATGACCGGATTTCATTGTATTTTACTGCTGTATAGTATTCTATAGAGTACATGTCCCATAATTTCTTTATCCAGTCTACTGTTGATGGGCATTTATGTTGATTCCGGGTCTTAGCTATTGTGAATTGAGCTGCAATAAACATTAAGGTGCAGACAGCTTTTTTGTTGGCCAGTATAATTTCCTTTAGGTAAATTCCAAGGAGTGGTATGGCTGGGTTGTATGGTAGGGTTATATTCAGGTTTCTGAGGAATCTCCAGACTGACTCCCATAGTGGCTTTACCACTTTGCATTCCCACCAACAGTAGGTTAGTGTCCCTTTTTCCCCACATCCTTGCCAGCATCTATTGTTGGTAGATTTCTGAATGTGTGCCATTATCACCGGGGTGAGGTGAAACCTCATTGTGGTTTTGATTTGCATTTCCCTGATTGCTAGTGATCTTGAACATTTTTTTATGTGTCTGTTGGCCATTTGGATTTCCTCTTTTGAAAAATGTCTATTGAGGTCCTTGGCCCATCTCTTAAGTGGGTTGTTTGTTTGTGTGTGTGTGTGGAGTTTCTTGATCTCTTTGTAGATTCTGGTTATTAATCCTTTATCTGTAGCATAGATTGCAAATATTTTTTCCCATTCTGTCAGTTGCCTCTTCACTCTCCTGACTGTTTCTTTGGAAGTACAGAAACTTCTCAATTTGATGCAATCCCAATAGTTAATTTTGGCTTTGACTGCCTGCCCCTCCAGGGTCTTTTCCAGGAAGTCTTTGCCAGTCCCAATATCTTGCAGGGTTTCTCCAATGTTCTCTAATAATTTGATGGTGTCGGGTCATAGATTTAGGTCTTTAATCCATGTTGAGTGGATTTTTGTGTAAGGTTAAGGTAGGGGTCTTGCTTCATGCTTCTGCATGTGGAAATTCAGTTTTCCCAGCACCATTTATTGAATAGACTGTCCTTGCTCCAGGAAATGGTTTTAGATCCTTGATCAAATATAAGTTGGCTGTAGATGTATAAACTATTCCTTTACATCATAGAACTTTGGTCATGACATTAAAATATATTGGCCAGTGGTACTGCATGTTTTAGAAGGTTAATTGAGTTTGACATGATCCTGCAAATCAGAAGTCCTCTTAGTTAAAGACATTTTTCTTTTCTGAATGATATAGTATAATATAAAGCTTAAATTACCACTGATTTGGCAAGTTAGAACATATGGGGCTTCCATTACCTAAAAGAAGTCAGACGTGAGTGCTTAATGTTATGAGGTATCTCAGTGAAAAAGATGAATCATTTGCCATACTTTGTTATAACTGAGTTACTCTCTCGTGGCCATCATGCATACTGAAGAAAGGAAGGGAATGAGACATTTTTTCAGTGTAAAGAAAGCTCAGAATTTCTCTACATTCATTCTGTATCTGCTTCCAGGTGCCCTGGCTATATTGCAGATGAATAATGATTTCATTTTAAGCTCTAGCTTAAATTACTGGAATAAAACTCTTATTGCAATGTGATTTGATGTAACATGAACTTCCATGGAATGTTTCTGACTTTTTTTTTACTTAAATAGAGGTCTTAATATTTCTATAGAAAATACACATTTTAATGAATAACTAAGGTCTTGATCATTTCCATAGATAAAGAAATATCAGTCTCATGGGATCCTTCTCAAGTTTTCCCTTAAGGATTTTTGGTCTCCTAACAATTTTGAAGAGTCTGAAATAATAATTGGGATGCATTTTAGTAATTATTGTTTCAAATTATCCTAGTAGTGAAATAGAAATAGGTGTTTTACATTTTTTCTTGCCTCTGCCTTTTTTCTACTTTGCTCTTTAACACTTTATCCATGACTTTATCTAAAAAATGATTAGTTAATTAATTCAAGAGTTGGGGTCAGGAGAGAAAGCAAGAGGGAGAGACAGAGGAAGAGAAAGTGCACCCATCCACTGGTTTACTCCCTAAATTGCTTCAATGGCCTGAGGACTGATGCCTGGATCCAGGAACTCAATCCAGGTATCCCATATGTGTGGCAGAAATCCAACCACTTGAGACATCACTGTTGCCTCCCAGCATCCATATTAGCAGTAATCTGGAATCAGGAACCAGAGCCTAAATTCTAACCTATTGTCTAACTCTATTGTCAGAAGCAGATGTTCTTATGGTTGCCAACACTCTAAGCAAACATCTCCTCTGCACCAGTCCCATAACTTTAATATCTATGGAAATCAACCCCATACATTTTCTCCATGTTCTAACCTTTATCTGAGCATAGACCTACTGTATACTTCTACTTGGATGTCCATTTGGCAACAAAAGCCCACCAACTTCAAGACTTAATGTACAAATTTAACCAATTTAACCTACTTTTTGTGCATTCTTTCTGTTTGTAGCAATGACATCATTTACTCAAACATATAGGTTACAATCTTTGGGAAGTTTTTGTCTATTTTAATCATAAGTATAAGAAATTGAATCTTCCATTGTAACACTTCTTCCACAAGTGTATTTTTAGAACTACTCACAGTAACCTGCTAATTCAGGGTTTTTTGTTGAAAATCATTCATGGGCTGATGAATTATAAATGTCTGCTGAGGTTCATTCCTTCAGATTCCCACCATATTAATCTTCCTACATCTGCACTGTTACTATTTCAATTCTGTGCCAAAAATAAAAATAAAAACCTTCTGTAGTGAATGGCTCCTTGGTTTTTGCAGTTGAGAACTTTCTCTACTGATTGAAATGTAACTTTGACCTGCAGTTTTGCTCTGGCAGTTCTGTGGGGGGCACATTGAGAACTTTTGAGAGACTGAAAATTCTTAGTGTGATGTTCAGTGAGGATGGAAATTACAGTCTTTTCCTGCACTCATCACCACTAATTTGAAGTTCTCTTGCATGACCTCTGAGAGTTCAGAAATGGCCTTTTACATGCTCCTCCTATGTTATTTTGTGCTAAATTCAAGTCTACAAAGAAACATTGAGAGTAAATATGCCTGTTCTTTGGGGCTAAAAATTTGTTATGAGTTTCATGAATAATGGAGAGGGGATCATCAGTCTTTCATTCCTTTATTTATTGAGTAATTAATACGTGTACTAGGTATTTCTCAAAGGTGCTACAGAAATAGCATTGAAGGAAATAGGTAATGTACCTGATATTTTTGTGTTTATATTCAAATATTTGTGAGTTCTGAATGTATGTTTATGTGTTGTATAAAGAAGAACATGAAGCACAGAATCTACAAAGATATCAAGAAACTCCACAACAAAAAAACAAGCAACACACTTAAGAGATGGGCCAAGGACCTCAATAGACATTTTTCTACTTAATACTATTGGTTGAACTCTTTAATTAACACACAATTATTTTTAGGTGTTTAAATTTAATTGAAAAGTGATCTCTGTTAAATATCAGAGTGGGAATAAGAGAAGGAGGAGAGGTACAATTTGGGACATGCTCAAGCCAACTTGCCCCAAACGGTAGAGTTAGAAACATACCAGGGGATTCCAATTCAATCCCATCGAGGTGGCATGTACCAGTGCCATCTCACTAGTCCAAGTAATCAATTTCAGTTCACAATTGATCATAATGATAGGTCTAAGAGTCAAAGAGATCACATAAACAAGACTAGTGTCTGCTAACACTAACTGATAGAGTTAAAAAGGAGAGAACAATCCAACATGGGAAGTGAGATACACAGCAGACTCATAGAATGGCAGATGCCCTAAATAGCACTCTGGCCTCAGAATCAGCCCTTAAGGCATTCAGATCTGGCTGAAGAGCCCATGAGAGTATTTTAGGCATGGAAAGCCAAGACACTCTGGCTAAAAGGTGTGGCCCGCTGAAAGGTAAAACACGCGGCATGCAACAACAAACCCTAAATGAAAGATCTCTGTGATTGAGATCCCAGTGGAAAGAACAGGCCATCAAAGGAGGAGGTACCTTTCTCTGAAAGGAGGAGAGAACTTCCACTTTGACCATGACCTTGTCTAAATAAGATTGGAGTCGGCAGACTCAAAAGGTTTCCATAGCCTTGGCAACTGATGACAAGAGCCTAGGGTGATTACTGATGCCATAAACAAGAGTGTCAATTTGTTAAGTCAACAATAGGAGTCACTATGCACTTACTCTTCATGTAGGATCTCTGTCCTTAATGTGTTGTACCATGTGAATAAATGCTGTAACTAGTACTCAAACAGTATTTTACACTTTATGTTTCGGTGTGGGTGCAAACTGTTGAAATCTTTACTTAATATACACTAAATTGATCTTCTGTATATAAGGAGAATTGAAAATGAATCTTGATGCAAATGGAATGGGAGAGGGAGTGGGAGATGGGAGGGTTGCGGGTGGGAGGGACATTATGGGGGGGAGCTATAGTAATCCATAAACTGTACTTTGGAAATTTATATTCATTAAATAAAAGTTAAAAAAAGAAATGTTAATCTCTTGATATTATTAAAACCAATCTTATGAAGTCTCATTCTTCTTTCCAGAAATGAACCCGAAGTAATAATTCATGTGATGAGCGAAATTGTTTGAAGTTTCATTCCTTTTAACTTGATCTTTTTGAAATGCCACAGTCATAATAAATGGTAATAGTTTTTTCTTACCCGATGAAATTCAATGAAAATTATTTATCTCATTAACATTTAATTACAATGGAAATGCACTACTTCAAATAACCACATATTCATACAAGGTGAAAAAATACATACTGATTTTAGTTATTTGAAGTGAAATATAATTTACTTAGTACACCATGTATGACTTTAGCAAACTGAGTGAAAATATCAAAACTAAGTTATTTGTTTTTTTCCTTTACTTTGTTATCAAATTCCTAAATGGTAATATCTAAAGATGTGAAATCATTGCATTCTAAGTAATTAGTTTATTCCTGTCTTTTTCAAACTAACAAGACCAACTAGAATGACAGCTTTTGTTTCCTCTCATCATCTTGTCTAATCTCTAAATAATGTTTAATAACAATTAGAAACATCACTAGCAATATACATTATTATAATTAACAACTTCTGCTTTACCCACCATCTCCGCCATATCTATCAAATGTATTCAGTTAAAACAGTGAATCTTCATCAAATTTATGAGTAAAGAACTATAGGACATTATCAACTTATTATGGTTGAATCTAACTGAATTAATACTGATAGGTTCTGGTTGTTTAAGTTCTTTATCAGCATATATGTGAGCTCTCCCTGATCATTTCATTTACTAACTTAGAGAATACTCCCTTATATCCAAGATTATTATAAGAATTTACAAAGGTTATCATTATTATTGTATGAGTAAACATTGATTTCTTTTCCCAAAATAGTTAGTAATTTCAATAACTGGAAGAAAGAAAAAATTGAAAAGTATATATCTTACATATAAATTGGGAGTGATTAGAGGATTTAAAGTATAACAATTACTTTATATTGAGTGCATCTCTGAGTTCTTCATAAATTAAGGGAATATGGACATGAAAAATAGTACAGTCTTTTTTTTTTTTTTGGACAGGCAAAGTGACAGAGAGAGAGAAAGAGAGAGAGAGAAAGGTCTTCCTGTTTCCATTGGTTCACCCCCCAAGTGGCTGCTATGGACAGTGTGTTGCGACCAGTGCGCTGCAGGATCCAAAGCCAGGAGCCAGGTGCTTACTCCTGGTCTCCCATGCTGGTGCAGGACCCAAAGACTTGGGCCATCCTCCACTGCGCTGCCGGGCCACAGCAGAGAGCTGGACTGGAAGAGGAGCAATCGGGACAGAATCCGGCGCCCCAACCGGGACTAGAACCCGGGGTGACTGCACCGCAGGCAGAGGATTAGCCCATAGACAGTCTCCAGAAATAGTTCTCTTCAGCCTGGGTTCATTATAGATGACATAGGATTATGCAAATATGAGTGAGCTCTGTGTATTGATTTAGACAACAGCAACTCTTGTTGAAATTGAAGCTGTCAACACAAAACTATCACTGGCTTTTCAAACTTTCTATATTTTCTCAGTTTAGAAATTCTTCTTCATGACATGAAAAAAAATGCATGCAAGGCTAGTGTGAAATAGGAGTGCAGGAAGTGTCCTCTCACAGCCAAAGTTCCTTCTGTAGCATCATATGTGAGCCATGATGTTTGGCTGTGATCTGCAACAGCCTTCAGAATGTAACTGCTGACTTGTTGATTGAATGCAAATTAACATTTTAATTGCTTATTGAAGAAAATCAGGAGCAAAATATGGAAAATTCCTTTCATTGTACTAAATTGATGAATGCTCATGATAGCAATAAGTACAACCAATTTCAATGCTTTTTAAAAAACTCATTTTATATGTATATGTACACATATATATGAACACATATATACAGATATGTAGGTCTATGTGTGTTCACAGAAAGATTTATTTCTACATCTCTATAGCTATGTGTCTATCATCTATCTACCTCACTATTTTCCATCTAGGGAGAGAATAACATTTTAAAAGAAAAAAGACTGAGGGCCGGCGCTGTGGCACAGTGGGTTAATGCCCTGGCCTGAGGCACCGGCATCCCATATGGGCGCCGGTTCTAGTCCCGGCTGCTCCATTTCTGATCCAGCTCTCTGCTATGGCCTGGGATAGCAGTAGAAGATGGCCCAAGTCCTTGGGCCCCTGCACCCGCCTGGGAGACCCAGAGAAAGCTCCTGGCTCCTGGCTTCGAATTGGTGCAGCTCCGGCCATTCTGGCCAATTAGAGAGTGAACCAGTAGATGGAAGACCTCTCTCTCTCTCTCTCTCTCTCTCTCTCTCTCTGTCTCTCTCTCTCTCTTTATCTCTCTTTCTCTGCCTCTCCTATGTGTAACTCTGACTCTCAAGTAAAAAATAAATAAATATTTTTTTTAAAAAAGAAAATAAAAAAGACCAATCTCAACCTAACAATACACAATTCTGAATAGCAAATCTCAGAATTCTAATCAGATTTTTGCATAACAATTCAATTCTTTTTGAGTAGCCCTAAAGCCTTACTTTTAATTAAGAATTTATATTCCACATACATCCATCTCCTTTTCATATTATCTTGTAAAGCTCTGCCTAAACATTTGTGAAAAAATATAATCTGCATAATATCAACTGTTCATAATTATTTCTCAAGTGTTTTGCTGTTTTTTATTTTTTTCCACCAAGGCTGTGCTTAGATTATTCTAGGAATGACTGGCAATGACATACTCTCCTCCTCCTACCCACACTGAGTTTGGTCATGTGACTTTCTCTGGACAATAAAACTAAATTAGTAAATATGATCCAAACAAAGACTTGAGAAACCCTTGCATGTTGCAGCTTTCCCTCTCAGAGCTCCTGGAAATGCTTCTACAACCACTTGAGGATAGGGATTCCAGCCTATCCTTTTAGAAAATGGAACCACATGCAACAGAAATGCATTGTTTTAGCAGGGGCCCAACCAGCTCATAGTCAACCCACCAGCCAAGAGCAGATTCATGAGGAAGCCAGGTACTGCTGGCAATAAAACTGGTCGAGTAATTCCAGTCCAAATCTGATGCACAAGACTGTGAGTGATCCATTACAATCCAGCAGTGTTTAGAGTGGTTTGTTACACAGCATTGGCTTAGTGACATGACATTGAAAAGAGACTTCAAAAATGTGAATAAAATTGTGTGTGCACGTATGTGTACATATGTAGATATATGATTTTTACATATCATTATTTTTCAGGCATGTCAAGTTGTTTAGAAAAAAAAAAAAAGAAAAATATCCAAACAACTTCAAAACCTCTCAAGCTAGGCTTATAGAATTACTTTTCAAAAGGAATTATGCTCAGACAAAAGTGAAACCTCTGTTCAATGACTAGATAGTTGGGGAAAACCCTAGATTATCCTCAGAGTAGTAAACACAGAGTTTCTACTTTGTCCTTCACCGAAGGCTCAGTATTGCAGTCATCATTATGAACACCGGAAGCAAACTTCAATTTCCAACTTCCTTCATGTATTATATAAAACATAATTACCTTTCCTGGAGTTCACTACCCCTCTATAATGACAGAAATTTGTAGTTCCCCCTGCCTATTGTTCTGTCCCCAGTTAAAGAAATAATTAAACAAGAACAAAACACAGGATAGGCTTTAGTCTAGCAGTTATGATGTTGGTTAAGACACTTGCATTCCAGGTTGGGTTCAGCTCTGCTCCTGGCTCCAGCTTCCTGCTAACACAGATCCTGGGATGCCACTGTGGTGGCCTCAGTAAAGGAGTTCCTATTACTCACAGGGAGACCTGGATTGGATTCTTGGCTCCCAGCTTCAGCCCACAGCCAAGGATCATCGTGTACATTTGGAGTGTGAGCAAGCAATAGTTGTATCCCCTCTCTCTCTCACTCTCTGTCTCTCAAATAAGTAAATAAATAATAAATTTTTAGAAATTAAAAAATAATAAAACAAATACACCCCTCTCTTTCTCTCTGCCTCTCAAATAAGTATGTAAATTTTTAAGTAAACATTTTTTTTAGAAATGAAAACATAAACTATTGTCTAATGGTATAGATTTTGGAACAGGTTTCCTGCATGCCAGAAGCTGTACACTTATAGAGGGAACTTTGTGAAGTTCAATGGAAGGAAATGTTGTGCTCCATAAGTTAGCTACTAGTCATAATATTTAATAATACACAAACTGGCAATGTATAAAACTACATCAAAGTGTTCCTGTATGTATTTTCCCCACCCAGAAATAACCTACCAGGGCTGAGATGTAAAATTAACAGAAGGAAAAAGATGATTTAAGAAATTGGATGAAGCAGCTTGCTCGCCTAAGATATGCATTCGTGTGTCCACACCCTGTTGATATTTCCTTGGTTCCAGTGGGACCCCAGAGGAGGTGTGCACAGTGAAAGAGGAAATGAGACTCCAGCCCTCACAGTGCCAATCATAACTGCACTGTCCATAAAGATGTTTGCATTTGCCTTTCAGGAATGTTTTTCTAAAGCTTAACAACTGCTAACTGTCAGTCAATGAGATTCTCCCAGGGCAAGTCACAGCCCTTATAACGAGTGTGCTGGGAGCACTATAAGAGGAGACCCTTTCTGTCATCCAAATAAAATTCAAGAAGAGGATCTAAGAAGTGATTAATACAAAATTAATGTAAAAGTACTCTTTAGGCCTTACCTTTTGAGATGTGAACATTTTTAATAATTCCAAAATGTTCTCTGAGTTAGTACCAGAATTTTGCATTTACCAAGACCAGCACAATTTCAAAAATATTTGGAGTAATGGGACAAAAATATTCATGAATGGTCTATGTGCCCTTGTGTCCCATAATTTCCTCTACGCTGCACCATTTGACAATTTCTGAACCTGAAACACTAAATTGAAGTAACATGGGTCACGGCCCATGCAAGCATTCAAGGGCCAGTGCTTGAACTTGCAATGTCTTCTCAACTTCCAAGGTTCCCAAGGACACCGCATGTGGAGATGCCAGAGCCAGCACTCTGGGAGTGTTTATTTGGAAGCCTGGACTTAGGAGATTCTGTATGGAGAGTGAGCAAATAATGAGCATTTTTGTATTATGCCATTGAAACTCAGAAGCTAATGTGTTATCGCAACATAACATACTCTATTCTGACCAATACAGGAAACTACTCAGGCATTACCAACTTTCTAACATGCCAAATAGATTTTGAAAGGATGCAAAATTCCTCACCACATTCCATCATTATGTCAAATAAACATTTTCACACACCCCACTGCCACCAAATAAATAAAGAACGTTATTGCAGAACACGGAATTCTTCTTTAAACTCAATAAATGTAGGTTTTTTTCCCCATAAAATCACTCACCGATATTTAATTTTTTCATTTTGCTAGGCAAAAGAACTTAATCATGAAATAGTACACCTATCTTCCTTTTAATAATTAAGAACAATGATTCCAGAGGCCGGCACTTTGGCACAGTGGGTTAAAGCCCTGGCCTGAAGCGCCGGCATCCCATATGGGCACCGGTTCTATTCCTGGCTGCTCCTTTTCTTATCCAGCTCTCTGCTATGGCCTGGGATAGCAGTGGAAGATGGCCCAAGTCCTTGGGGCTCTGCACCCATACAGGAGACCTGGAAGAAGCTCCTGGCTCCTGGCTTTGGATCAGTGCAGCTCTGGCTATTTCAGCCATCTGGGGAGTGAACCAGAGGATGGAAGAACTCTCTCTGTCTCTACCTCTCTTTGTAACTCTGTCTTTCAAATAAATCGGCGCCGGCCACAAATAAATAAAATAAATCTTAAAAAAAAAAAGCCACCACAGCCAAAAAAATTTTAAAAGAACCATGATTCCAGATACATCAAAAATGGTACAAGAGGGTTTTTGAACCAAAGCAATGAAAACAATCCCTGGCAATGCCCAGCTTTACCTGTCTTTCGGTGAGATCCAGATTCACTGCTATCTTGTATCTCCTCAGTCTAGTCACATAGTTGTGATGGGCAAATTCTGCTTCTAGTTCTCAGATTTGCTCTTGGGTAAATGCTGTCCTTTACTTCCTGGGTTTGCTGTTGACTTCAGACTTGTAATTTCCTTCTGGGGAATCTGAAAAAAAATTAATACCAATTCATTCATTCAAATACATATAATCATGTAATTTACTGTATTCATTGTGGTTGAGTTACTGCTTTCCCAGGTGCTATGCTAGTCTTGGGACAAACAGAGAGCAGAGGCAGTAAAATGCTCTCATCTCCACTGTGTACAACACATTCCTTGGTTTTCCAATCTGTCTTCAAGCAACTGATGGCCTAATTGGAAATGTGTCAAATTTTCTCCTTACAAAACATGAACTGTATTTAACCACTCATCATACGATATTATAAGATGGACCAAATCCTCTCTAGAAGGCAATTTTAGATATGAAATTTAGTAAGTTCTTAACACACACCCTTGAGGTCTAAGTAGGAACAGAATGATTCTCCATTTTTAAAGCATTTTTTATTTATTTGAAAGGCAGAGCAAGTGATAAAGTGAGAGGGAGAAGGAGAGGAAGATGGAGAAGGTCAGGGAGAGGGAAAGAGAGGGAGATCCTCCATCCACTGGTTCACTCCCCAAATGACCATAAAGGGCCCAAAGCCAAGAGCCAGGGACTCCATCTGGATCTTTCTGCTACTTTCCCAAAAGCATTAGCAGGGAGCTTGTTGGGAAGCAGAAGAGCCAAGAATTGAGCTGGCTCTCCAAGATGGCATGCCTATGATGCAAGCTGAGGCATTATTGTATCACAACAACAGCCCTTTGAACAGAATCATTCTTAAAAAAAAAGGCAACCTGGTATATGAATCTTTGCACAACCCAAGTGTTTTGTGTGGACTTATTGGCTTTTTTATTTCTAATTAGATATGATCTCCTTGAGGGCAATAGCAATGCTTTTATCCATTTTACATCATACTTACTACAATGTAGAATACATAAGTAAAATTGTGATCATATATCTAAAATATGAACATAATTGTAAAATATTTTCATCACATATAAACGTAAGATGCACAATGTCCAAAACTAGCTAGCTAAGAATACCAAATCTTATAAAATATCATGTAAAAAATACAAGAATGGGGGGGTAGCTATAGTGCAACAAGTTAAACTGCTGCCTGCAGCGTGGCATCCCATGTAGGCACCAGTTCAAGTCCTGGCTGCTCCACTTCTGATCCAGCTCCCTGTAAATGCCCCTGGGAAGGCAGCAGAAGACAGTCCAAATCCTTTGGCCCCAACCCATGTGGGAGCTCTGGATGAAGTTCCTTGCTCCTGACATTGCCCTGACCAAGCCTTGGCCAAAGAGGTCATTTGGGGAATGAACTCATGGGCTGAAGATCTCTCTCTCTCTCTCTCTCTCTCTCTCTCTCTCTCCCTCCCTCCCTGTATAACTCTGCCTCTCAAATGAGCAAATAAACTTAAAAAAAGAAAAAGAAAGGAAGAAGGGAAACAGAAGGATTGTGATCTTGAGGCCAAATAAAGAAAATGTTAAAAGTATACATACATAACAACAATAAGGGCCAACATTGTGGAGCAACAATTTGAGCCACTGCCTGTGACACCTGCATCCCAGGAGTACCCAGTTGAATCCTGTCTGCTCCACATCCAATCCAGCTCCCTACTAATGCAACTGGAAAAGCATCAGATGATGTCCCAATACTTGGGCCCTGCCACCCATATAGGACAGTTGGATGGAGTTCCAAGCTCCATGCTTCAGCCTGGTTCAGCTTCAGTTGTAGTTATTTGTGGGTTGAAACAGTGGATGGAAGATCTCTTTTTCTATCTCTTTCTCTCCCCCCACTCTCTATAATACTGCATTTCAAATAAGTAAATAAATCTTTTAAAAGGAGCTTTAAAAATAACAACAATCATTTGGAGATATCATTCCATCTTTCTTCATAAGAGTTCAAGACCTACTTACCATGGAGTATATCCCTGAGATGAAGGATAGGAGACATTCTTAGGAATAAAATGTGTGCCTATCATGGAGAAAAAACTATACACATATACCAGGTAAAAAGTAATGGCATTCAGCTCTAGTAAGTCATGTCTAACTTGTCCTCAGGGAAATGCACATAGTCAAATTAAAGGGCACATTTATTTCTGATTTATAATCATCTTCCAGCTTGGCAACCCTTCTGTGAGCCCAAAGGTGAGAAACAATATAGAAAAATTAAGGTGAAGCCTTTGTTGAAGATTGGCTTTTAAAAAAATGACAAATGTAATGTGCTATACTTTTTAAATGATCTCTTAAACCACATTTGTTTGCTTTTCCATCTGGTGAAGTTAATTATTCCAAGAAATACAAAAATTATTATTTCTTTGACTAACCCTTTTCCTTTCTGTCGGCTTGGGGGAAGTCTACCTGAAGAAGACACCGCATCATGGAAACCCAGTAGACGAGGCACAGTAATGTAAACACGCTGGTTCTGCCTTGCGCCAGAACCTGAGTGAGCAGACTAGAAAGCATCCTGGGTCTGAGAACTGCAGCAGCAGCAGCAGCAGCGGGCTTGCATCAACCTCTCAGCGCACTGGCTGTTTTTTTTTCCCACTCCGTGGGATCACAGTGTGGGTCTCACTGACTGCAGTGTTGGCACTGTGCACAGCTCCCCCTCATTCACAGGCTGCATTGCTGGGCTTGTTTTCTGACTGCCCGCCTCTGGCCAGCACAACAGCATTTTGTGATCCCTCAAACACAGGTGGCTGGCTCTTTACAAGGAGATGCAGGGACTAGGTGAATTATGTCACAGAGGACATGTGACTGTCAGGTAGGTGGTACTGCCACAAGGCTGAGCTACCTGGCTGTAAGTGGAAGCTGCAGTCTCTTACCCACATTTCTTGAGCCATAGATTTGCCAACTTCCACCCTGGAAGATCATTTATCCTTCCTGGCAGTGTGCAAGCAAAACTTCCATGATGACTTGTCCTTTTAACTTTTGCTTGATCTCTCTGGCAGACAACAAGGTCAGTCCTGCTCAGAACATTCAGATCACAAGCCCCTCTCACAAGCATCTGTGTTCTCACATAAATTGAAAGGTTTCATGCCAACTTGGAGCCACCCTGGGCCTGCAATCTGTGGCTGATTATTCTCTGTGTGGGGACAAGGAGCTCTCCCCTTGAGTCAAACCACTCTGGAAACTGACAGCAAAGCCAGTGCATTTTTTCTCACAAGCAATGCAATTTGAATGATTCATGGTTCGCACATTCCCTTATGTAAGCATGAATGAACAAATTCACATTGAGGAAAGCCTATTCCCTTGTATTTATGTTTCTCTGGAATGGATTCCCTCTGACTTTTGCAAGATTCAGAGCACTTTGTAGACAGCATGTATACACACACACACACACACACACACACACACACACGACATGGCCCCGTGTTTGGAAGGACAGTCCCATGGAAGGGATCCATATGCACATCCACTGTAACTGGAAATACACAACAGGAAGATTATATATGCAGTGACAGCACTGAAGCAAAAATCGAGCTGCAAATCAATGTTGAATACAAAAGAGTTTAGCACATGCCTGAATTCCAAGCTGAAATGGCTCACAGGGTGACATCCAGGGACAGAAATGGCAGTCATCACAGAAGCAGCCATGATGCTCTAATGAACATGACAGAGTGTAGGTGGGTGGGTGTTTTTGACATCAGAGACTCCCTGTAGCTGAGGCCACACAGTGGCATTTATCAGCACACACTTGCATCCTCACCTCCGCCATTCTGTTGTGGTTTTCACCCACAATACTTCCACTCTTTTATTAAAAACACACTCCCTGGAATTGCACTTCTGGACTGAGATTTCCCACAATTTTGATTTTTTTGCATGATTTTTGTTTTACAGTTTCTAAAGCCAATCATTTGCTGGTCCTAAGGTTCCCCCCTCCCATTTCCACCCACCACCATTATCACCTGACTGACTGTTCTTTGCTGGAAAGTGAGTGGGAGCCATTGACGAGGCTCTTGGCAGATTTCTCTTCAGCTTCCATCTGTTTCCCAGCTGTTTCAGCAGAGACAAAATGCCCTCTGTTTCCTTTAGCCTTCCCCACTCTGTGCCAAATGGTAGGTGTTGAGCGGTCTCTGGAAACTGTCTTCCTTTCTTCCCTTCAACCACAACAATGTCACCATCTGTAGGGTGCATTCCAACATAAAATACTGCAATTGTTACTTTTCATCCCAGGTACTTTAGTGCACCTGTGGGTGCACCCGCACACTCTCACCTTGTGGAGGAATTGCTGACTTATGTGTTCAGGTAGAATCCGCAGCTCCCCGGGTGTGTCCCACCTTGAGCTCCCCAGGACTGTGCTAATGGCTAGAGTCTGCAATGCTTCTGTAGAGGATGAAAATTGCCCTCCAAAGACCACATCTGTCTGGTGTTTAGAACCTCCCCACATGTGACTTTGTATTTCCCCTAGTACAAGCGGATGCCAAAAGATAATAATGTTTTATTAAGGAAAATCATGGAGGGAAGGACTTGGCCTGTCCACAAGTGGTGCAGAATGCTTTTTTAGCAAAAGAGAAATAATAAAATATGATTGAGTACGTTACTGGCTACTCTGGGTAAACTTATTAACTGACTGGAACAAAGAGCATAATTTACCTATGTCTGCAAAATATTAAAATGTAATGGAGCATCCATACAGCTTAGACTACAATGAATTCTTATTTCACATTCTGAATTAAAAAATGAATACTAGGGCTCAAGTACATGTTTGCCCTTTTGGACTTCATGCATCAATGTTTTGTAAGCCATTCAAACTGAGTGTTATTCTGTTATTTATTAATGTGGCTGCACAGGTCTGGCAGTATAGGAAGCTAATAACCACCTCTGCATACATAGGGATTGTGGATGGAGGCAGGAAAATGTATTATTCTATACATTTTCCAGGAGACCAGCAATTTTCACATTTAAACAGCATTCCCCAGGGTTTCTTAAATCCTCTTGCCAATCCACTCTCCATGTTGGCGAACAACAGTCATAGACTCTCTTAGTTGTGAATGTGTCTACACTGGGGTTTGACAGCTACAGAAATGGCTCCAAAACACACTGCCAGATCTAGAAAAGAATAGCT